TTCTGAGAAAATGAATAAAAATAAAAATAAAGGAATAAAATGAAATCCTATAAGAAGTACAGAATATTTATTTATATACCTTCACATTCATCATTTTTTAAAGCTGCTACAGTACAGATCACTCCAACAAGAATGGGTAGTACTAACATCAGTGAGTTATTCATTTTATATTTGTCTTCTAAAAAAAAGAATAATCTTGTATCATATATTATTACATAACATTGAGAAAGTCCATATTACAGTTATAATTGATCGTAATTATATCATTAGAATAATAAGATAATTTAATATTAATAACTTCCTCAATAAATTAAAACGATAAAGTTTATGTCAACTTAAAATAGACGCGTCTGTAAAAAGTGTAAATACAAAATATTGAAAGAAATATATATGTATACAATGATTTTATATAAATAAGAATGAAACTCCAATACAGTGTACCTATTATAGGTAGAATGTAAAAATGACATTAATTAATAAAAGAATGCTTACGTCTACTGTTTATTAGGTTAACAAGAATAACGAAGAAATGCAACTTACATAGTGTTGCGCTAATGAAACAACTTACACACCACACAGAGAATATTCCCGTGAATTCGTATTGTAAATGCACTGGAACTTCTAATTCATGCACTTACAGATTGAAAGAAATTCCTAATGGAACTACATCAGTTTATCTCACGCTTGGCTTTATACACGTTGGGCTCTGTCAAAAGCCCGGAATCCCAGCTGGCAAGTGCTGATTGGTTCACATACGCTATGACTCACGATCAACGTAAGTCTTTTTCAATTGGTTATCGTATGGAGGAAAAAGTGAAAATGTGCATCCACAGAGTATGTATGTACGTATATACGTATGTATATGTATACACATATTCCAATTCTTATTGTTAGATAAGAATACAGTTGTGCCTCACCATAGTAAGCCAAAGCGAGAACAACCGGCTTAAAATTATGAAGCAGGTACAGAAACTGCTTCTCCTCTGATTGGTTGCCAGTTGATTGGTTGGCTTCACAACTAAACAGTGCTGCCCTCACAGTTCTAAACGAAGAGAGGAAGTGGCGAGTGAGCAAGAGAGCACGACATCAGAATGGCACAAACGAAACAAGTCACACCGCAACCAATGTAGCTTGTCTCACTTTACTGTGCTTGCGGTCTCACTCTTTTTACACGTCCGTATACCTGGCGCTTCATCTGAAACACTCGGCGCGATATTCGACTTGTACTTTTCGTCCTGTAAGATCCTCGACCACACAGTCCAGTGTATTTTTGCAAATGTTTTGAAACGACGATCATTTCTACAATTATTAAAATTTTCAAAAACCCGTAAGCTACATTTTAGCTAATGGTTTCAACGTTATGAATCTACAAAATTTTGTTAATTCAGCCATCTCAGTACTTGTTACCTGGGACGGTCAGCAATCAATATTCTACTGCAGGAAAAAAGAGTTTCGGAAGCAACGAATAATTTCGCAATTTTATACGATTTTTACTGTTAAAATTTTGAAAAACAAAGCTGAAACTTGCATTCATATCCTCTTAGAAAGACTACATATTAATGTAATAATTATCCACAAAAAATTCTCAAACTCAGAGTTTTATAGAATTAGAATTAAGAATTATGTATTGATGATTGAAACAATTTGTGACCATTTCTACAATTATTGAAATTTTCGAGAACCCCTAAATTACATTCATAGCTAATGGTTTCTACTTTATATAAATCTACAGAATTTTTTAAATTCAGCCATCCCGACCAACAATCAATATTATACTTCTCGTAAGAAGGAGTTTCGTAAGCAACGAATAATTTCGCAATTATTGAAGCCATGAACGAAACTAGGAATATTTTATCAATAGTATTAACTGGTTGTTATATTTGCTGTTGCAAGTTAATTCTGTTAATTATGTCTGTGGAAAGAAATCTAATTAATACTCATAATCTTTCTCATATGTAATATTTAAAATTATTTTGCCTCTTGTATTTAGAGTATTAATTTCTACTCCATTCTTTAGGCAATTTTCAATTTCTTTAAAAGAAAATAGCTAACCATTTTTCAACCTCTGTTCACATACTATTTTTAACATTAGTATCTTATTGTTACTATATTACTAGGATCAAAACATTTACAATTTCTTCCTAAACATATGCAATAAGTAGGTATTCAATTCAGATGAACATATGTATTCTATTGCGTTTTGACGTATGATACATACATACTAATTTACAATATTCCATGGATTTAGTAGCAATATGGCGCCACGCAGAGATCACCGGTCTAACCAAAATTCGGTCAAATCATCAAAGAAAAACGTGAAGAAATGGTACGAAAACTATTTAGAATGGGAGAAACACGTTTCTTTATTTACAGACCCAAAGAAAATTTTCCTGATAGGAAGAGTGTTTATAATCCTGGAAATTGTTTTGAACATATTGGTTATCGAACGTGTACCATACACTGAAATTGATTGGAAAGCATATATGCAAGAGGTCGAGGGCTTTTTAAACGGCACAATGGATTACTCGAAACTGAAAGGTGATACTGGACCATTGGTTTATCCAGCAGGATTTGTTTACACATTTTCCGCGCTGTACTACATTACGGACCACGGAGTGAAGATCAAAATAGCACAGTACATCTTTGCAGGTCTTTACATAAGCCTACTTATGCTGGTCTTTCGCATTTATGCGAGGACAAAAAAAGTTCCTCCTTATGTTCTTATTATTATGTGTTGCACATCTTATCGTGTCCATTCTATATTTACTTTGAGACTTTTTAATGATCCAATTGCAATGTTTCTATTATTTGCGAGCTTAAACGCATTTCTAGATGATCGCTGGTACTTAGGAAGTGTTCTTTACAGCTTAGCTGTATCCATTAAAATGAATGTTTTATTATTTGCACCGGCTCTGTTGACTGCTTACTTGTGTAACTTAGGATTATTGAAAACAATAATCCATTTGTTCATTGCTGGCTCAATTCAGTTAATGTTAGGTCTTCCTTTTATAATCAACAATCCTTTAGCCTATATTAAAGGTTCATTCGATCTTGGAAGAGTTTTCGAATTTAAGTGGACTGTTAATTGGAGATTCTTGCCAGAACATGTTTTCATTCATCCGTATTTCCATGTATCATTGTTGGTATTGCACATATTGACTCTTATTTATTGTGCACCAAAATGGATAACATATATGAAATCGTATGCCAAATTAAAAGCGGTAGAAAAAAGTCTGCAGCCTCAATTAAAAAAGAAAGAAAAAGTGGATATGTCTGTTATGAGTCAACTATTCATTTTACCAATGTTTGCTGCCAATTTTATTGGTATTGCATTCAGTAGATCACTGCATTATCAATTTTATGTATGGTATTATCATACACTTCCTTATGTTGCATGGTGTACAAATTATAAGACTGTTGTAAAGTTGACCATTTTAGGTATCATAGAATTATGTTGGAACACTTATCCAAGCACAGTCTTTAGTAGTGTTTCATTACACATATGTCATCTAATGTTGTTTTATGGAGTTATTAAAGATAAATCTGGCCATGAGAAAGAGAAATAAAAACTTAGGGACCATGTTTGTGTACTATTTCTTATCCCCTACTCTTCCACATGATTATTTAATTTTTTAATGGATTCTGCGGCTGGAATGTTTTGTTACATCTATTTCTATGATGAAGAAATCATTTTTACATTTTATTTCATAAAAATGACAGAAAACAAAACTATGTCATTGTATTTTATATAAGAAAGAATTGTAAGAGAAATGTGATTGATACAATAAGATTGTAAATACATCTATACAGGTCGAAGTAATTATCCGATGTTTTAATTATTATTTCCTTCCATTGATTAAAGTAACATTATTATCATAAGTTCTTTGTTATCACTTCGATTAAAATATAGTGATAGAGGAGCTGAAAAATTATTTTAAGGGTAAAGAAAAAGGTTCAAGAAATAGACTCCTGGATCTGTATCATATAGGTACAGTTTATTTAATATTACAAATATAGAGAACAAATAATCCTCGTAATCCTATTTGATATTTCTCGTCGCTATCATCATAAGATCCAATGTAGAGTCTAAAACTTCTGAAAATTAAAAATGGTGCCATTTGCGGCAAGTGGCGCTTCCTGTGGCGAAATCTCGAAGTTCTGTTCAAGGTCCGTACAGCGCCAATTAGTAAATGGCAAAACGCTGAAACTGTGGGGATATAGAATAAATAATTTAATAGACTATAATATTTCCACTGAACACTTATAATTTTTTAGGTATTTAATATTTTAAAATTTCAATATTTCGATATGAAATTATCAGACTAGTCAATAAATTATTCCCGTTTCATACATACGTGTTCACTCTAAGAATATTTATTATAAATTGAATACTCGTTGGTATTCGTAAACTTAATCGATATTTAAAAATTGTTGATAAAACTTGTGTTGAAAACTGAAAGCTCTAATTTGGCTACCAGTTTCAGCGTTTTGTCACTTACTAATTGGCGCTGTACAGAACCTGGATAGAGCTTCGAGATTTCGCCACAAGAAGCGCCACTTAACCGCAAATAGCGCTACTTTTAATTTTCAAAAGTTTACGCTCTACGTTGAATTTTATGACGATAGCGACGAGAATTATCTATTCTCTACAGTTATAATAAAAAAATAGGATCCATAAGTATCCTATGTCTGTACTGTCGGAGCGATTGAAGTGCAGAAACAATCTCTAAGCTACAAAATTTTTTATTTGAAATACTTTTATTAAACAATGATGTGGCTATTCGTTGATTTGTTCAAAAGTTCTTTTCTAGTTTCTTGTACATATTAAATTGTTACAAATGCTGAAATTTATAATTCATGTATTTTTCAATCATAAGGGAACTGAAAACACCAAAATATTCAGCACTCTTAGTAGAAATAAAGTATATAGAATATTTGCTTCGTGCTAATGTTCCTAAATTCATGAACGCTGGGCGCGACATCGAAATGGAACGGGGGGTCTAGGGATGCCCATAAAAGATTGATCTTTCAAAGATCGGCCCTAGATTGACATCCCTATGTAGGATCCACCAAATCCTAGATAGAAAAGCCCATAATTCTATACGAATCCTAAGTCTCTGGTAGCTATAACAAATATTCAATTTTCCTTATATTGCCATGATTACAGTAAATTCTCCCTAATTGACCTTCAGCTTGGAAACAAAAATGAACAATTTGGTAAGTGGGGGTATTATTCGAGCCTTGCGGCTCGTTTTTATAGCCACCAATTATCAACAATTATAAAAACAAGCCGAGAGAATAATCGTATCTCCTCTTCCCAGATCGTCCATTTTCGTGCACAAGCTGAGGGTCAATTGGGGAGAATTTACTGTACGTAGTCTCTCACAGCGTAAAACCGGTGCAGAAAATTTCCCTGAACATTCTTGTGCCCTCGCATTATTTGTTGAGATTTGAAATTGCTAGAATTCATTCAATGTTCTATACATAAAATCTGCTCAAAAAACGTTTATCGCTACGTGGTGATAATGTTTCGTGGTCCACGATAGTCTAAAGTCATTTCAATAACAATAGAAGAAAGCTATTTTCGAAAAAAAACCATAATCAGACATTTTTCTAAAAAATGCGAACTATACAGCGCAGCATCGCCACGAATAGTTTGAGATTTCTGATCGAGTATTGGTCTCGACTGGTATTAGATTTTAATCGAAGTAACATTAAAAGAAGAAATAGTGATGGTCTCGGTTGCGAGCATGATTGAGCTACGCTCCTATTTTCATCGCAACGAAAGTAAGGCAAGTTTATATCTAATAGCTCAATTTTAGTTTCAGGTTTTTTCAACGACATTAGAGAGTATCAGCACTAGTAGGCTCTACGAAGTAGAGGAAGCAGAATCAAGTAAAAGTATTTCAAGATTGTGTTTTTGCTCTTTTATGTCGCTATAGAAGAGATAGGATATTATATTCTTGCATAATATTATCCTTATTCTCACGTCTTTAAAGACGCTTTATAATGTCGAGCCCTTAATATATTGATGGCGACAGACGTTTCCGTTTCGCTGTTTCACTTTTAAAATACGTTCTATAAACGACTGGAATCTATGGAAACGGGTGCCGGATAATCGAAACTCTACTGTACGTCAAGTGTAACAAATCGTGACGATGTGGTTGCTATTATTTAATTAATATGTGAGTACTCTCTCTCTCTCTCTCCCTCTCTCTCTTTCTTCAGTATAATAAAATATCGTTTCCAATGTTTCAAATATTTTACAATTGAACGCGCACGACTAGGGCGTACACGTATAACGTACGCAGTATATTGTCACCGATTTAAGCACCTAACAACTTTTTTACAGAGTAGCCGGGTATCGCGTAAAAGAACAATAATAATAGTATTACTATCCCGATGACGACAATACTTTTTAAAATTGCCCATTTATAGTTGTGCCACACGATGTATTTGATAGACTTGAGGGGATTTAACAGCCACATGAAAGAGGCGTCGGGGCGGCTGCAACAGGCAAGAGATATTTCGATATGTTGAATAAATGCTGTCATACTTTATCAACGACAAAATTGTTCGACCGATCGGAAGAACTCACTTCGGTTTGTCGAGCGGATCCGGTTCGTTTCTACCATAACCAGCGGGATTTTGTTCAGCCTCCTCTTTGGTCAGCAAATGGATCTCCGCTTCCACCTTTCCCTGTTGAACATTCGCGATGAAAAACATTTAACCCTGGACGGCGTACGATGTGAAACCGATCTCCCAAAGAAATTGAACATGCCCGTACCGTTAATTCCATATTTTCGTTTTCCTTTTTCACGTAAAACGGCCACCAGCCTTTGATCCTCTTTTGCTTGAAAATGTTCACGGTCGGCACGGTTCCGTCGGTCTTCAACATGCTCAAAGTGCAAAGCTTGCTGTTCTTCGCGCCACGGGGAAATCTGTTCAAGTCGAGGGTGATAGCTCCTAGAAAATCGTCGGCCGAGAAGTGATCCGCGTCCCATACCTGTTAAACAAAGGAACGAGATCGTAAAATACCGTGGTAGCGCGGTTCTCGTTCTCGCGGAATTACAGTAATGTCTCTCTAATTCACGCTCAGATTCTCCACGAAAATGGACAATTTCGAAAGAGAAGATGCGATTGTTCGAGCCTCGTAGCTCGTTTTTGTAATCACGAATTGTCAACAGCTATAAAAACGAGCTACAAGGCTCTAATAATCTATAAAAATAATCATTTTCCCAAATTGTCCATTTTTGTGCACCATCTGGGCGCCACTTAGGGAGACATTACTATATATACATATATTACTATTATATTATCCGTCATCGATGATGGTACTGTTATTCACCTGCAACTCCAACCGGGCTGGAATTTTGCACTCGGTCTCGTCCCAACTGAACAAACTCTCCTTTCGATTAATGACGATCTTCTCCTCTGCCACGAGATAATCGAACGGATATATAAATCGCCAATTGAAATTCCCTTCTCCGGTCAAGGACCGATAATGAATATCGGTCGCTTGACAGTCCTCCGGTCCTTTCAGCCATCTGTCGAAACCGCGATTTTAAGATCAGCTGGCAGAATCGTATGTATCGTCGTGAATACCGATCGCCCGCCGAATTCCGCCGAAGCGGAATGAGAAAGCGAACGAGAGAACGAAACGAAAGTAAACGCTTAGTACCCCTTCACGTAAATGTCGCTCATCTTTTCGCCGGTGAAGAACGCGTCGTCTTCCAGCACGACGTCGTCGGTGTTCCAAATGACGATCCTGAGCTCGTAACTTTTCGGTTTCCTCGGCGATATGTCGATGGACGGTCCCGGGGAAGGCATGTCCATGGGGAACATGTCGACCCACATTTCCAGCTTTCCCTGTTCGATGCCGGGTTTCTCGGGGTTATAGAGGGGTCGCGTTTCGACGTGTTCGGGGACCAAGCTGCAGCCGATTCTTGGAAAAGCGTGCCACTGATGAAGCACCGCCAACGCGAGGTGCTCCTCGATTCCTGAAAAGGATAGAAGCAGCTGAAGTAGAAAGAGGACGAGACGGGCTATGCTCCTAATCGGAATTTCGATTATATAATAATAGAAATAATAGAATATAAATAAATAGCAGAATGATAGAATATTCTTCTGGAATATTAGAATATTGGAATATCGTTATACAGGATGTCCCAAAAATGGGAGATTCCTGAGGTCGAATTGTTTCAAATCAATGATTTCGATAATATAATTATCCGAATGGGAATTCTTGCCTCTCGAATATTTTGTTCGGATAATGATTATTTATTATTTCAACAAATTATTCCATCCACTTATTCAAACAATCTGTTCCATCGATTTATTCGATCAAATTATTCCATCTATTTATTCGAACAAGCTAATCTATTCTTTTGTTCGAACAAACTGTTCCGTTTATTTATTCGGGCATTGTACGATTATTCGAATCATAAAGCGGACATTTGTTAACTGTTCTTGTTTTTACATAGTTTTATGGGGATGTACAGGGTGTTCCAAAAATGTCTCGCAATTCAGAAATGGGAGATTCCTGAGGTTGAATTGTTTCAAATAAATTATTTCACTAACATAATTATCCGAATTCTTGCCTCTCGAATATTTTATTCGAATAATGATTATTCATTATTCCAACGAATTATTCCATCCACTACTTATTCAAACAATCTGTTCCATCGATTTATTCGATCAAATTATTCCATCTATTTATTCGAACAAGCTAATCTATTCTTTTGTTCGAACAAACTGTTCCGTTTATTTATTCGGGCATTGTACGATTATTCGAATCATAAAGCGGACATTTGTTAACTGTTCTTGTTTTTACATAGTTTTATGGGGATGTACAGGGTGTTCCAAAAATGTCTCGCAATTCAGAAATGGGAGATTCCTGAGGTTGAATTGTTTCAAATAAATTATTTCACTAACATAATTATCCGAATTCTTGCCTCTCGAATATTTTATTCGAATAATGATTATTCATTATTCCAACGAATTATTCCATCCACTACTTATTCAAACAATCTGTTCCATCGATTTATTCGATCAAATTATTCCATCTATTTATTCGAACAAGCTATTCCGTTTATTTATTCGAGCATTGTACGATTATTCGAATCATAAAGCGGACATTTGTTAACTGTTCTTGTTTCTACAAAGTTTTATGGGGATGTACAGGGTGTCCCAAAAACGTCTCGCAATCCACAAATGGGAGATTCCTGAGGTCACTCGAAGTAACTTATTTCTCAGCGAAAATGCAATCCGAGGCTTCGTTTAGTTATTCTATTTAGTTAGTTTAGTTTAATTATTCTAATCTAAGTTATTCCATAGACAGTTATATTTTGTTTTTGTTGTTATTTTTAGAATACGATTAATTTCCTATAGATTTCAGTTGGGTAACGAAGTTGTACAAGTCGGGAGTCGTCGAGATCCGAAAGGCAAGGATTAAGCGAGCAAACAGATAATAGAATAGAAGAGCGACAGCTGCGTAACCGACACGTTTTGTTAGCGGACATCGCCGTAGAATCCTCGTCACCTTTCGAATGAACGTAGTGCTCCATTTCCTCGTTCGTCAAAGAAAACGTTTTCCTGCCTATCGACACTCGGCCATGCGAGTACACGGGACCGTCGATTTTCCCATCTTTGCAGAGCTTGGACAAAATTTGGGTCGGCTTCGTCGCGTCCCTCCACTTGTTGTATCCGGACCTGAAACGCGTCGAATGGTGTTCGAGGAAATCCTCGAGAGAGAAGCGTGTCGAAACTTGAACGGAACGGAAGTTCCGAGTTGAACTTACTCGTCGTAGCGTTTCGGTAGGCCGCATGTGGCCCGATGCCTGCTGTAGAACCTATTTTCCAAGTCGATCTTCGTCTCGCCGATCATGTCGTCCGCACCGACCAGATCCCAGTCCAACACTTGAATGGTTAACAACGAATCCTGGGGGAAGGTCGCCTCTATTTCGAAACACCTTGGAAATTAAAGCGCGTGAAACTGCGTGATACTGTGCGAACAATGTTACGCGTGTAAGTTCAACGCGTTAAACGTGTTAAACGTGTTAAACGTGCCCGCGGGCAAGAACCGGGCGCCGCGGAAACGTAGTGAATAGGTAAGTTTGTTTGCGTGGTTATGCAGTTGCGAGCTTATGAGACGGAAGTGCGAGAAGACGAAGAGTGCAAAGGAAAAGAGCAGGGCGAGATTTACATGTGACAAACATACGTGTGTAAATGGTACCGTGGGGAAGGAAGTACAGGAGGAGAGAGAGAGAGAGAGAGAGAGAGAGAAAGAGAGAGAGGGAGAAAAAAGGAACGGGTGTTGAGGACCAAAGAGACTGAAACGAACCGAATAGACCGTGTAATGAAGATGAAATGGGAGGTGGTAGTTACGTTACGACAAACATACGTGTGTAAATGGTACCATGGGGAAGGAAGTACAGGAGGAGGGAAAGAGAGGAAAGGAGAAAAAAGGAACGGGTGTCGAGGACCAAAGAGACTGAAACGAACCGAATAGACCGTGCAATGAAGACGAAATGGGAGGTGGTAGTTACGTTACGACAAATATACATATGTAAATGGTACCATGGGGAAGGAAGTACAGGAGGAAAGAAAGAGAGGAAGGGAGAAAAAAGGAACGGGTGTTGAGGACCAAAGAGACTGAAACGAACCGAATAGACCGTGCAATGAAGACGAAATGGGAGGTGGTAGTTACGTTACGACAAATATACATATGTAAATGGTACCATGGGGAAGGAAGTACAGGAGGAAAGAAAGAGAGGAAGGGAGAAAAAAGGAACGGGTGTTGAGGACCAAAGAGACTGAAACGAACCGAATAGACCGTGCAATGAAGACGAAATGGGAGGTGGTAGTTACGTTACGACAAACATACATGTGTAAATGGTACCATGGGGAAGGAAGTACAGGAGGAGGGAAAGAGAGAAAGAGAGGAAGGGAGAAGAAAGGAACGGGTGTCGAGGACCAAAGAGACTGAAACGAACCGAATAGACCGTGCAATGAAGACGAAATGGGAGGTGGTAGTTACGTTACGACAAACATACATGTGTAAATGGTACCATGGGGAAGGAAGTACAGGAGGAGGGAAAGAGAGAAAGAGAGGAAGGGAGAAGAAAGGAACGGGTGTCGAGGACCAAAGAGACTGAAACGAACCGAATAGACCGTGCAATGAAGACGAAATGGGAGGTGGTAGTTACGTTATGACAAACATACATGTGTAAATGGTACCACGGGGAAGGAAGTACATGGGTGCAGGAGAGAGAGAGAGAGAGAGAGAGAGAGAGAAGGGGAACGGATGTCGAGGACCAAAGAGACTGAAACGAGCCAAAGAAACCGTGCAATGAAGAAGAACTGGGACACGATAGTTACGTCTTCTTCTTGTTTTTGTTTCCGTTCTTTTTTCTTTACGTTTATATTTCTTCTTCAATTAGATTACGAGATTACCGGATTTTAGATTAACACGTTCGTCGCCCAGCGTGGGTCGAGTTTCTCACGTGGTCTAAATCTGATAGTCGTAGCGCGTACTACATATTTTTAATATTTTTACGTTTTATATTTGTCGGTGCTTGTTCAATTAAATTCGCGTGCTTCAAATAGCATTTTTACGAACTACTTGTAAAATCCTATTTAACTAGACGAAAAAGAGCGTCACCCATTTACGGGGCCCATTCACCCCCCACGAAAGCCTATCCGTCACTCAGAAGTGGATGAGGCGGTGACGAACGTGTTAACAGATAACACTGTCCGACAAAATCAAACTTTTCTTCTGGGTTCCTATAGCTACTATGAAATTCTTGTAGAGCTTGTAGAGCTCCCTGAACAAGAATCCGAGAACCGAATTGCTCCATCACCCTCAGTTGTTTAAATAAACGAACTTCTGTAAAAATCCAAAATTTTCGACAAAAATGAGGTATTGCATGAAAAGTGAAAACGTTAGAAAGTTCTAATCGGTGTTAAAAGATAGATGAGAGTTTCCCGAATATAGCGGCATGCAATTTATTAATTGTTTTCGGTCCTAAATAGCAATTGTTCGGGGAGGGAAGCTCCACAAGAATTTCATAGTGGCTGTAGGAACCCAAAAATCGTGTCGGACAGTGTAATTTTAGCTCTCTCGTCAGTTGCGTTTGGTTTCGTTGCTGAATTATTCGATTATTAGAATACACCGAATACGACTATTAGTACTGTAAATAACAAAATGAGGTAAGAAAATACGTGTAATTGTAGTTCATCGCGTACAGCGGAAAGATAAAGGTCTGAGCTGCAAGTAATCCTAAGCCTAGTAGACAAGGATTAAATAAATAAATAAATAATAAACAGTTACGAGCTCTACGCGTACGTACTTGCCGAAGACAGGATTGAGCTGTTTCGACACGTAATTTTCCTTGTCGCTGATCCTCTTGTTGCCCAAATGCAAAACTACGTACGGGTCCGCTTTGCCGTTCAAGTCGCAGGGATGCAGGTCGTTCGCTTTCACGATGTACACCCGTACCAGTACGTGAATCGGTTCGTTCGACGGTACACCTTGGAAGAAGCCATACTGCGGGTCGAAGCCCATGATCGTATGATCTATCAGATCTTTAGGGAGGGGCCACTTGTAGACCTTTAGGGCGCCTTTGAAGCTGCCGACGATTCTAGACTCGTCTTCGGGCTCGTCCCCGGTCTTCTTGCCCCGGTACAGCTCGAACGTGTGCAGCCATTCCTTGAACTGCTCGAATTCCGGCTGGGCTTCCAATTCGTTCGGATAGATTTTTAATAAAGCTGTTCGCGGGAACCGAGCCCGAGAGGAGGCGTGCTTCGGGCTAACCTTCGACGCGAATCTCGCCGCGTTCGCGGCCGATTTCATTCCGAAAAGCTTCTTCGAGCCGCCGACTCCGCTCGGACTCTTCTCACCCGAGAGGTTTCCCGGTGGTTGATTATAGCTCTCCTCCAAGTACATCGAAACAGTGCCGTTCAACGGTGCTTGGAACATCGTTTTCTCCTTGCGGAGTTCCTTGTTCTCTTCGATCATCACTTCCACGGAGGCGAAATATTTCGTCCACCAATCCTGGCAGCCGTCGCCGTCTTCGAACGAAGCGTCGAAATCACCTGCGAGGATCGAGTCGATTTTACTCATTCGATACATTACAATGCGATCTACGATCGTAGTTCTGCCGATTCAATTACATTGTAATCCAATTGCGTAATTGAATCAATGGGTTTACAGGAATGCCTCTCTAACTGACGCTCAGATTGTGCACGAAAATGGACAATTTGGGAAGAGTAGATTATATTATATATATATACTATTATGATTATATTATTATATATATTATTATAAATTATTATTATTATTATATATATATTCGAATCTTGCAGCTCGTTCTTATAATTGTTGACAAAATGGGTAACTATACAAACGAGTTGCAAGGCTCGAATAATGGTATCTTCTCTTCCCAAATTGTCCATTTTTGTGCAGAATCTGAGCGTCAATTAGGGTGACGCTGCGCCTTCGTTTTAATAGTTGCCGATTGTCGACAACTATAAAAATGAAGGCGCGAGGTTCGAAGAATCGTATCTCCTCTTCCCCAAATGGTCCATTCTCGTTTAAAAACTGAAGGACAATTGAGGAGAATTTACTGTACTCGGATAGTTAGAGATTAGCAAACGAATCATAATTTTTTGTAAAATTATATTCATAAAAGTGTGAATATAGATAAACTAACGAAATATAATGTTTTTGTAAGATAATTTATATGTAAGATCATTTTATTGTACCATGTAAGACACTCAACACAGACAGTAATTTTAGGGAGACAGTAATGTCTCTCTAACTGACGCTCAGATTGTGCACAAAAATGGACAATGCAGGAAGAGGTATATATATATATANTCCGAAAAGCTTCTTCGAGCCGCCGACTCCGCTCGGACTCTTCTCACCCGAGAGGTTTCCCGGTGGTTGATTATAGCTCTCCTCCAAGTACATCGAAACAGTGCCGTTCAACGGTGCTTGGAACATCGTTTTCTCCTTGCGGAGTTCCTTGTTCTCTTCGATCATCACTTCCACGGAGGCGAAATATTTCGTCCACCAATCCTGGCAGCCGTCGCCGTCTTCGAACGAAGCGTCGAAATCACCTGCGAGGATCGAGTCGATTTTACTCATTCGATACATTACAATGCGATCTACGATCGTAGTTCTGCCGATTCAATTACATTGTAATCCAATTGCGTAATTGAATCAATGGGTTTACAGGAATGCCTCTCTAACTGACGCTCAGATTGTGCACGAAAATGGACAATTTGGGAAGAGTAGATTATATTATATATATATACTATTATGATTATATTATTATATATATTATTATAAATTATTATTATTATTATATATATATTCGAATCTTGCAGCTCGTTCTTATAATTGTTGACAAAATGGGTAACTATACAAACGAGTTGCAAGGCTCGAATAATGGTATCTTCTCTTCCCAAATTGTCCATTTTTGTGCAGAATCTGAGCGTCAATTAGGGTGACGCTGCGCCTTCGTTTTAATAGTTGCCGATTGTCGACAACTATAAAAATGAAGGCGCGAGGTTCGAAGAATCGTATCTCCTCTTCCCCAAATGGTCCATTCTCGTTTAAAAACTGAAGGACAATTGAGGAGAATTTACTGTACTCGGATAGTTAGAGATTAGCAAACGAATCATAATTTTTTGTAAAATTATATTCATAAAAGTGTGAATATAGATAAACTAACGAAATATAATGTTTTTGTAAGATAATTTATATGTAAGATCATTTTATTGTACCATGTAAGACACTCAACACAGACAGTAATTTTAGGGAGACAGTAATGTCTCTCTAACTGACGCTCAGATTGTGCACAAAAATGGACAATGCAGGAAGAGGTATATATATATATATTATATATTCGAGTCTTGTAGCTCGTTTTTATAATTGTTGACAATTCGTAACTATAAAGACAAATTGCAAGGCTCGAATAAGCCTCTTCCTAAATTGTCCATTTTTGTGGACAATCCGAGCGTCAATTAGAGAGACATTACTGTACTTTGCGATTCGATTCAATGGCGATATGAATTACGAATTGCAATGTAATTGAATTACTTTGGAGTTTGATTCGATCGCGATATCAATTACGAATTACAATGTGTTCGAGTCACTTCGTAATTATAATAAAATTATAATTATAATAATTAACCCTTTCCTTACGGCAGCCCGCTCCGCTGGAGTGACGCCACCGAACGGGACACCGCACCGCGAAGCGTGCACTTTGCGCGTCGGTTGTCTTCGATGTTCGGACTTACGTCTTTTAACGTCATTTTGCGATTGTCTTGTATGTACACTTTTTTAAGAGCTACGTAACAACTGTTTCATCGTGTCATATGAAAAACATGAAAATGAATATTATATATTAATGTAATTGAAAATATAAAAATCTAAAATAATCTAGTAAATCTAAAATAATTTTTCTGGCTTATAGCATTTTCATTTTATATGACAGAGTGCATTTTGTGCAGATGAAATTGAGCCTTGTGACCTCGCACGACAGTTACACTTTTAACAATTTTGTCAATCTAAACTTTCTTAACACAAAAATTATTTTAGAACGCGATATAACAAATTTTAGCGGTGTCTCAGAGTCACCACTCGAGTGCAAAGGGTTAAGTTATCTACATATTTAGAAATTTTGCTATTGTTACAAGTAAGGTATTTGGACCTATTTCAGGTAGTTAGATCATCAAATTATAATTCTTAGTAATTTCATTCGGTATGGTAAATTCTAAAACAATGGTCAACGCAGAGACCTGCATTACAATTTTTGCATTCGTATCAAACAACGCACCTTCTATTTCGGTTTTTTTCTAACTGGTACAAAGAGCGAAGAAAAATGTCGCTCTATGAACCCTTTGCGCTCGAAGCCATTTTAACCGTAAATCTAAAATAATTCTTCTGATTTATAGCATCTCCATTTTGTATGACAAAGTGCACTTTGTGCATACGAAATTGAGCCTTGTTAATANGAATTACTTTGGAGTTTGATTCGATCGCGATATCAATTACGAATTACAATGTGTTCGAGTCACTTCGTAATTATAATAAAATTATAATTATAATAATTAACCCTTTCCTTACGGCAGCCCGCTCCGCTGGAGTGACGCCACCGAACGGGACACCGCACCGCGAAGCGTGCACTTTGCGCGTCGGTTGTCTTCGATGTTCGGACTTACGTCTTTTAACGTCATTTTGCGATTGTCTTGTATGTACACTTTTTTAAGAGCTACGTAACAACTGTTTCATCGTGTCATATGAAAAACATGAAAATGAATATTATATATTAATGTAATTGAAAATATAAAAATCTAAAATAATCTAGTAAATCTAAAATAATTTTTCTGGCTTATAGCATTTTCATTTTATATGACAGAGTGCATTTTGTGCAGATGAAATTGAGCCTTGTGACCTCGCACGACAGTTACACTTTTAACAATTTTGTCAATCTAAACTTTCTTAACACAAAAATTATTTTAGAACGCGATATAACAAATTTTAGCGGTGTCTCAGAGTCACCACTCGAGTGCAAAGGGTTAAGTTATCTACATATTTAGAAATTTTGCTATTGTTACAAGTAAGGTATTTGGACCTATTTCAGGTAGTTAGATCATCAAATTATAATTCTTAGTAATTTCATTCGGTATGGTAAATTCTAAAACAATGGTCAACGCAGAGACCTGCATTACAATTTTTGCATTCGTATCAAACAACGCACCTTCTATTTCGGTTTTTTTCTAACTGGTACAAAGAGCGAAGAAAAATGTCGCTCTATGAACCCTTTGCGCTCGAAGCCATTTTAACCGTAAATCTAAAATAATTCTTCTGATTTATAGCATCTCCATTTTGTATGACAAAGTGCACTTTGTGCATACGAAATTGAGCCTTGTTAATATAAAAATTATCTTGGAACGTGAATTAAGAATTTTAGTGGTGTCTCAGAGTCACCGCTCGAGTGCAAAGGGTTAACAGATCGTCGCGCGAACGCCGATTATAGTCGGCACCCGTAACGAAAGAGTTAATAAAATCCCGAAGTAATTCAATTTTAATCCAGCACAACTCTTCCTACGATGGGCTCGCTCGCCCATCAGCTCTATCTCGCTGTGACTCACCCGTACTTCCATCGTAAACCAAACTGTGCTTTTTCCTTATATTCTGCTCGGTTTTCTCCCGTTTCGTTGGCCAGTCTTGCTCCAAGCCCAGAACGATGGTTGTGTCGCCGCAAACGAACTCGAGATCGGCCAGGGACTCCAACAAAGACGTCTGTTGCAACCTCGTTTTCGACGTGTCGAAACCTGCTTGGACGAACGGGACGAATTGTACGGAGAATTCGGTGAATACAGTAAATTCTCCGTAATTAACGCTCGGATTGTGCGCAAAAATGGTTAAACTTGTAAAGAGGAGATCAGAGTATGCAGAGAAACACGTTTCATAGTTGTTGACAAACGGCGGCTGCAATGACGAAACTGCAAGGCTCGAATCATCGCATCTCCTCTTCTCAAATTGTCCATTTTTTAAGAGCGTCGATTAGGGAGTATTGGATTATTTTCTCTCTTTTAATACTCAGAAGTTTTTCCTTCTAGCATATAAGTTACAAAAACGAATCGACGCCGAGAGTCTCGCCAGAGTACCATTAGATAAACAATGATTTCATATGTATATAGAACAGATTGCTCTTTGTCTTTAGGTGACGTTTTTGGTTTCGTCTTTGTGAACAGTCTTCAGTCTCCTGCAGCAATCAGGAGAGTAAAGACGGTCCTTCCTCGTACATCAAATTAATAAACTAAAAGGGATAAGTTTAATTCACTGCGTTTTACTTTTATTTATCTACCCATTTCCAATAGGGAGAATTTAGTGCATTACGGATCGTCCTCTCACCCGCGTACTGTTGCAGCTGATACAAATTCTTTTTTCTGTCCTCGGCCTCCCTCGCCCGTTTCGTCAGCGGACAATACATGTACTTGTGAATCGAGTTGATGGTGTGCGTGCCGACGAGCGTGTACCGGCCGAAACTTCGACAGTCGACTGCCCTGATGGTCAACGGTGGCCGATAAAGCTCCTGTTCCGGTAGCTCCAGTTCCATGAACTTGACCGGCGTACCAAAATTCGGATTCTTCTTCGCGTTCGCTATAACGGACGAATAGAGAATGTGTCCGGCGCATTCGACGTCCACGCGTGGCTTGTCCACGGTCAACAGGTGTATCCTTTTCAAATCTCTCAGCCCCCAGAACAATACTTCGATCCTGGAACGGAGAAGGAAACCTCGAAATTCGTCGCAACGAAATAATAATAATGTTTAACCCCTTGCCGTACTTTGACGAGTCCGAGTCGTCATGAAAATTTCTATTATTAACTCATCGAGTATAGATGTTATTTTGTCCTTTAAAGTTGCAATAAAATTCTATTCTTTGGTCGTCAATATTTAAGCATTCAAGAAAATTCAGGTGCACAATTAGCATTAATTTCTTTTTCTTTCTAAGAAATTATTAGAATCGAAAAATTTCGAATCGCAGTAACTGCGAAGAAAATGGTATGTCAAGGGGTTAATATCTGATCGACGGGGGGCAAGTCCCTGCGTTACAAAAGTGCCACAGTTAGTCGCACAAGTAGCAAATTAAGCGAAATAAAGAAAAAAGAGAGGAAAAGATACAATAGATGACGCAAAAAGAAAGATAAAGTCAATGATCAAAGGGAAGATCGAACTGCGATGATAACAGATATTTCGAAAGAGGTGTACGGGCGGCAAAAAAAGTCTAATAAGTGGCAATATTGCTTGGAAATTAAGAGGCGACGATTTGGACAGTTGTGGTAGACATAAAGTGTCCGGCGAGTTTCAGGAAGGGTGTGAAAATGTCTTCTGATATTACGCATGAGAGCGTAGAAATGCAGTAATTTCTCCCGGAAATGCCAAATTTCGGGTTGCTGTGAATTTCTCTGCGTTAGTCCTACGCCTACGTAATTTATTGTTACGTCGACGCTAAGGGTATCGGAGTTTTGCCGAATTGTCTTCGAATCGTGGCAAAAAATTAGAAATACAAAAGTTAAGTCACCGTTTTTATTCTAGCACTACTATACAGGGTGTCCCAAAATTATGGTATCTCGGAGAAATGAGGGATTCCTAAGCTGATTTGAAGCAACTTTTTCCTTTACAAAAATTGTCTTCGAGGCATCGTTAACGAATTATTCATACAAAAACACTGACCAATGAGGGGGCAAGTTCGCTCGGCGCTAGGCGACCGGGCCAATGAGCGGAACCGAGCTCCGTGCGCTCGTTGGCTCGGCCGCCGCGCGCCAGCCAAGCTCGCCTCTCATTGGCCACTGTTTTTCGTTAATAACTCGTAAACGAAGCCGCGGATTGCAATTTCGCTAAGGAAAAAGTTACTTCAAATGATCTCAGGAACCCCTCATTTCCCGGAAGTACCATAATTTTGGGACATCCATCATATCAATGCATACCGGCATGCTGCCCGCTGCCTTTTTTGCCGCCTGCCCCGAGTTTCTATAAAAACGAGTCGCGAGAGGCTCGAAGAATCGTGTCTTAGCGCGCGACTTAGTATTCTCAGATCTGCGCGTTTCGATTCCGACTTCCAAATGATCCCAAATATCTTGGAAAAATTACAGTAGAGCTTTTCTATCGCAACAACTTTCTCGGCTTACCGATATTTCGCTAGAGTCGGTCTTATGCCGACGGGTACCGGAAGAATAGGTCCTTGATCTTGACCGGTGTTCGCAACAGCAACAGCCGTAACGGCAGCAGGGGCAGCCGCGGCAGTGGAGGAAGTTGCAGTGGTTGCAGCAGTGACTGGAACGGTGGCACGCGTTTGACCCGTTCCTTTCTCCTTCGGATCCGGTAGGGTCGGGAACCCGTAATCTTTCGTCGACGGGTGTTCGAGCAATTCGAAGACAGCGAGCAGCTCTCCGGCTCTGGCCGCACCCCTGGTCACGTCGTGCCATTCCAAGGACGGAGGAAACTCCGGCGGCGAGTAACTCTCGAACGCGAGTTTCACGTGAGGTCTCGCTACCGCTCGTCCTATGTACTCCGATTTCCCCTGGAACCAACACCCGTTTTCCCTTGAAATTTCCCTCGAACTTTCAAACGGATTACCCACGAATTCTTCCGTTAAGTAAACAGTGACGAAACAAAAGTGCGTTCGAATCGTTCGATTCGGTTTCTTTTTTTTTTCCTTTGTTGCGGTTCCAGTGCAGGAATTTTTGGGGGGTGTCGGTTTTTGTGTAATTTGCAAGCCGTAATTCATCGATCTTTTACTTATCTTTCACGCGACGGACTCGTCATGCTAACTACACCCGTTTCGTTGAATCGTGGAAGCGTGTTTCTCTGCATGCTCGTATACTTGTGTATCTTTTACAGTTGTGTACGGGTGCTACCTACGAGGGTCGAGTGTTGTTGCGAGTAGTCGAATGGCAAATGCCGTTCGATGCTGTACAAATATCGTATGTCGTGTTCTATGTCATCGTATGTCATCGTATGTCATTGTATGTCATCGTATGTCGTCGTATGACATCGTATGTTGTATGTCGTCATATGTCTTCGTATGTTTTATGTCATCGTATGTCGTCGTTCGACGTCACGTCATCGCATGACACATGATATCGTATATCGTATGTCGTCGCATGTCGTCATATGTCGTCGTATGTCGTCGTATGTCATCGTATGACATGCTATGATGTCGTATGTCGTCGTATGTCGTCGTATGACGTCGTATATCGTCGTATGTCGTCGTATGTCATCGTATGCCATGGTATGATGTCGTATGCCATGGTATGATGTCGTATGTTGCATATTGTCGCATGATATCGTATGTCGTCGTATGTCGTCGTATGTTGTCGTATGTCGTATGTCGTCGTATGTCATGGTATGATGTCGTATGTCGTCGTATGTCATGGTATGATGCCGTATGTCTTCGTATGTCGTCGTATGTCATCGTATGTCGTCGTACGTCGTCGTATGCTGTCGTATGTTGCCGTATGTCGCAGATATCGACGGTTTTAAAGCAGAGCCCTCGCGTAGTATGTAGGTATGCCCATAGTTAGAAAATCACTCTGTAAGAAAGAATTAGAAAACAACGTAAGAAATACGATAGCGTATCGCCTGCTGTTATGAAATTTGTTGGGTTAAATATCGAAAAAAGACAGAAAAGATAAAGAACGATGCTGTTACTTCGACGACTCACCACTTTATCCTGGTCGAAGATTTCAATGACGATGGACGGCGGATCCTTCTTGATTTCCTCTCCGGTTCCGTAGATCAAAATTTCATCGAACAGGAGAAGCTCGTCCCACGTAGGGCTGAGCGTTTCGTCGATGACTTGCGTGCATTTGCAAAATTCGCCGCAAATTACTCGCGCGAATGGATCCGAGAGACCGGACGCGTCGCTACCGATCAAAGATCGGGCTTGATACATGTGCGCTCTCAACTGGAATTTCTACTCAATAATTATTGCAAGATTTTAGTAGCTCGTAATCTATGCGTGATTAAGCGTAATATGTAATCTCTACATACGAGCGCATACAGTCTAATAACTCAACAGGTTGTCCCGAAATTATTGTACAAGCGAGAAATGAAAGGTTCCTGAGGTCATTTGAAGTAACTTTTTCCTTAGCGAAAATGCAATCCGCGGCTTCGTTTACGAGTTATTAAGGAAAAACGCTAACCAATAAGAGGCGAGCTCGGCCGAGCGCGAGGCGGACCAGCCAACGAGCGGAGCTGGGCTTCGTGCGCTGGTTGGCTGGGCCGCCTCGAGCCAGCCCGGCTCGCTTCTTATTGGTTGGCGCTCTTCGTTAATAACTCGTAAACCAAGCCTCGGATTGCATTTTCGCTAAGGAAAAAGTTACTTCAAATAACCTCAGGAACCCCTCGGTTCTCGCTTGTACAATAATTCTGGGACACCCTGTATCGTCTACAATAGCCTACGAATGTCGCGATGTATCTGTATCTGCATTTGTATCTGTACGTGTACCTGTATATGTGCCTGTATCTGTATCTGTATCTCATGCTGTAATCGAGATTCTAGACAAAGTCATGCATACGAAACCAGCATGGATCCTTATATAGATCCCTATAGATCCGCGTAAATCCGCATAAATCCGCTCGGATCCGTTTTCTTACTATCGCTATAAGTGTACACATATTATGTATATGTATTATGTATGTGTTGCACGTAAGAATTGTTAAAAGAGTAGGCACGTTAACTGATTCCAGTCTGGCACTGGTTAGGGGACACTCACGTGTTTTTCGACGTAATGTATAACGACCGGTGGTAATGCCCGTTGCCTATCAATGTTTCGTAGCTCGTGGCCAAATTCGTAGCCTTTTGGCAATCCTTGAATGAAATACTTCCTGTGCTTTAATATGCCCGACCACACGTAGATCTGCAGTTTCGTTTGTATCGCCCAGCCGGATGGTCCGAATCTTTTCTTTCCTGGAAGCTATCGGAACATCGCTGTTTAGATCGTTCAATCGAATTCGAGTCGATACTCCGTGAAACATTTCGGTTAGTATACTAGACGGAGACCGGATAAACGGATGATATTTTACATTATTTATAGTAATTTTCGTTAACATTCGGACACCTTTTAAAACGTAATAACTTTTCTAGGACTTGATTAAATGATTTGAATTTTATTTAGATGACAGAGGTATCGGTATATTTTTTTAATTTGGCTACTGCCTAGGATTGCTAAAGAAAACAAAGGACCCTCATTTTTTAACTTTTTAACATTCGGACACCTTTTTAAAACGTAATAACTTTTCTAGGACTTCACTAAATGATTTGAATTTTATTTAGATGACAGAGGTATCGGTATATTTTTTTAATTTGGCTACTGCCTAGGATTACTAAAGAAAACAATGACCGCCATTTTTTAACTTTTTAACATTCGGACACCTTTTTAAAAGGTAATAACTTGTCTAGGACTTCACTAAATGATTTGAATTTTATTTAGATGACAGAGGTATCGGTATATTTTTTTAATTTGGCTACTGCCTAGGATTGCTAAAGAAAACAAAGGACCCTCATTTGTTAACTTTCTTATTTGAGCCTATAACGAAAATTTAAAAAATGCGTTTCGTAGATCTCGATAACTGATATGCATTTTAAAGATTTCATCGAAATCGGTTGACCTTGGTACGAGTTGTAAATAATTAAAGATCGCGAGAATCGCATTTTTGTCCCGACTTTTTGGACACTTCCGACCAATAAGTGTGAGAAATCTGCAGTTTTTCAAATCTTTTGACGCTTTCAACATGCTTTCGCGTTAACCGATTTCAAAATTGTCAGCACGCATGAAGACTTCGATAAAAGAAACCGTTAAAAACCGAGTGTTTCTTATTTTGTTCCGTCACTCCGAGTAAAAGTAAAATTGTAACAAAGTAATTTAGTCGATGTCCGCTACACTAGTCCCTCTGTCATCTAAGAAACAATTCAAATCGTTCAAACCAGTTTTAAAGAAGTTATTGCGTTTTAAAAGGTGTGCGAATACTAATGTAACGCGCACCTTGAGAAACATCGTTTGTATTTTGCCGCAATATTTGCCGCACTCCTCGTCCACGATCGAGTAAATTAGATCCCTTCCAGGTATTCTGTGGTAGGCGACGCGTCGCCCACCGCTAATTACCCAAATGAACACGTCCGGCAACGAATCTTGAGGCTGCGAATACAGAGATCCAACGTGCAACGTGGGAAATTAGGTCGAACAGAATTACATTCTGCAAGATCTACAGTAATTTCTCCTTAATCCGCGCTCAGATTGCGCACAAAAATGGACTATTTGGGAAGACGAGATACGATTCTAATTCGAGCCTTGCATCTCGTTTTTATAGTTGTTGACGTATCGGTAACAGAGCGCGAATTAGGGAGAAATTAATGTATCTCCGATTCGAAGCGAACCAGAGACACCGGGAGCCGTTTCTTCGATTTGAGACGAGCCACTTACGTCTTCGATGAGAAACTTCAATTTCTGTAAGTAGCCTTGCGCAGTTTTCAATCTTTCTTTGAAGCTGCTCCTCGTGATCACCGCTTTCAGGTTCCTCGACAGGATCCCTATGTTTTCCAATTCCCTTTGACACAGTTTCATCCTCTCTTTGTCGAGCTTCGTTTTCCCGACTCCCGGCCCGGCGAGGCTCGACTTGTTTATGCTGACGTATCGGTTGCAGTTGCTGCTCAATTCCTCGAGCGTCGACTTCAACGTCTTCTCGCTCGAAGAGTCGTCGGCGTGCGCTTGAGCCTCCGCCAATCCTTCTTCCTAAACGAACAGATCGCGTTCTTTCCTCTTCATTTATTTATTATTTATTTATTGAATACATACGGGAAGTTATCTATCAGTTAGAAAATTATAAAAAAGGTATGATAAGGTAACCGCAATTCTTTAAATTAATGCGATATATCTCCACGAATTATAATAATATTGCGATATTAATTAATACTTAAGTTTTGTTTCAGAGAGAGTAGCGGATGATTGAGAAAATCGATAGAAGAGCGCATACTACTTACAATAAAGAAAACACGATTGAGCTCAGTATGATATCCATCAGTAGTTCTACAGGGTGCCCCAAAAATGTCTCGTAATCCGGAAAAGTGGGTTCCTAAGATTATTTGAAGAAACTTTTTCCTTAGCGAAAATGCGATCCGCGGCTTCGTTTACGAGTTATTAATGAAAATCAGTGACCAATGAGAGGCGAGATCAGCTGGCGCGAGACGGCCGAGCCAATGAGCGGAGCTGGGCTTCGTGCGCTCGTTGGCTCGGCCGCCTCGCGCCAGCCAAGCTCGCCTCTCATTGGTTGGCGTTTTTCATTATTAACTCGTAAACGGAGCCGCGGATTGCATTTCCGCTAAGGAAAAAGTTACTTCAAATGACCCCAGGAACCCTAAATTTCTGGATTCCGAGACATTTTTGGGACATGTTTCTGAACATGTAGTTCTTTCGATCTGAGACGAAATATTGGAGCATTCAGATAGAACTTCTGCACTAACGCTGGAGAATCAAGAACTCTATTAAGGATTTTATACTTTTCTTCGACTTACCAGCTTGTCCGCGATTTTATTGATTATGTTGCTATTGTACATTCTGCGTCTGTAGTCCGGCCAAATGCTTCGAACGTGGAGGCAGGGCTTGTCGTCCCAGTACGGTATGAAATAATAAATTTTGTCGTGCGTCATCGGTTTGCTGGGCGGCGTGGTGCTCTGCCAGGATCCGCTCAACACTTCCTGCAATTCTTCTTGATCTCCGCCCGTGCCACACTTCGGGCCCATCTCGAACATCTGAGATTAAAAAAGTGACTGAATCGTCGAAAGCGTCGGAAGCGACGTACGCGTACAGCTTTACCTTCGAGCTTTCGTTGTGACCGTCCAAGGAGTTTCCCGCGTTCCCTATCGAGATCTCAAAGTACATCGGTTTGTCGCCGAGCTTCTTGTCGATCATCGTGGCATCCATGATGGTCGCGAACAAAAAGAACTCCTCGTTCCTCGCGTATGCGGACTCGTTGATCGGCACGGTGGGTTCCACCTCGACCTCCGACGGAGCCATGTCGACGTTGTCGCTGATCTCCGTCCTGATCGCTATCAACAACCTGCATACAGCGGAACGATGAAATTTAGATAAAAATTAGCTGTGCGCAGAGCTGGGTAAAATAGTATTTTAAGTGGCAAATAGTAAATGGATATTATATTTTATATATATTTTATGAATAAAATATTTTATATCATATATATTATATTGTATATATTATATTTATTTCATATATATTATTTCAAATCGTGCATATATTTTTGATAATAGAATATTGTGTTTGTTCGAATGAATGTACTTTTGAAAAGAAAATATCTCGTTCCTTGTAAACGATTTTTAAGATAATATTTTAAATAGTATTTTATTTGAGAAATATAATATTTGAGCTATAGTTTGGAATATTTTATTCATTTAGTTTATTACCATCAAGTTAAATAGTTTTATTTTACCATCATCATTTTATAATGATAGTGCAAAGTATAATTACTCTGGTAATCTAAAACGAACGAAGCACTTTTCCTCTTCATTATCACGTATTACGTTGTGTTAATCATGTTCACGATTTATTTGTAGATCGAGAATCATAGGACGTATTCTATTTGATGCTTTATGCTATTAAAATAAACTATTCAACTTTACGTTTCACATTATCGAAATAAAATATTTATTCCACGAAATAAAATATTTTATTCGCCGAAATTTATGTTTTGAAATATTATTCTATTCGAATCGCGAAGAATCTAGCATTGAAAATATTGTTTCAGATATTTTCATTATAAATATTACCGAGCTCTGGCTGTGCGTACACAGCGCTCCTTTTCCGACCGAATCACTTTGTTACCCGAAACGGCGAGAAGAGCAATGAAGGAAATAGAAGAAAACAGTGACCTTGCTCTGTACGAAATTCCTTCTCCAAGTCCGGCATTCAGGGTGGAATGTTCGTCTATGAGACTGTAGTCCCTTATGCTTCCGTAAAAGTGGATGAAAGCCGGGCCGAACGTGGGTAGGAATCCTCGTTCGCCGTCGTTGCTGATTTGCTTCAAATCGACGAAATGCGTTCCGATCACGGTCGCGTGGACCGGGTCGTTGTCGCACAGTTGAATTTTAATTCTCTGGCAGAGTGGCGGAAACATTTCCGTGAAAACGATCTGTTCGTTCCAAACCGGTGTGTAACTGTGCCTCTTGACGCTCGTCTTGCCCTAAAAATTAAGCGACAAATCGTTCGATGCTTTGATAATTTTATAATTACGTTAATTTTAATTATCGCGTTGCTGTTTCTTCTTGTGATAAATCTGTATATTCTACCCGGGTGTCCCAAAAATCTCTCGCAATATGGAAATTTGGGGTTGCTGAGGTCATTCGAAGCAACTTTTTCCTTAGCGAAAATGCAATCCGAAGCTTCGTTTACGAGTTATTAATGAAAATCGCCAACCAATAAGAAGCGAGCTCGGCTGGCGCGAGGCGGACGAAGCCCAGTTCCGCTCATTGGCTCGGCCGTCTCGCGCCAGCTGATCTCACCTCTCATTGGTCATCGATTTTCGTTAATAACTCGTAAACAAAGCCGCGGATTGCATTTTCGCTAAGGAAAAAGTTTCTTCAAATGACCTTAGGGACCCACTTTTCCGGATTGCGAGGCACTTTTGGGGCACCCTGTACAGGCGTTCGCGATAGATTACGTTTCCTTTCTTTTCTTCATGAACTTTGTTCTCCATCGCAACTAAACAAATGCCTTTCAATACCGTGCACTAATGGCTTTTTGTCCATACAACGAATAAATAAATAAATAGACGTGTGAACGAATAAATTACCGTTAATCCAGCGAAGGACACTTGCACGTAAGGATCCACGAGATCCTTGATCTCGCCCGTGAAAGCTTTCTTCACGTTCGCCATGATGCTGCTGTTCATTTTCGGGAGTCCGTCGGCTCTGTAGACCTTCACGATGAACTTCGCCCTTTGCCTCTCGATCGGCACACCGTCCGGAAGCAACAGATTGCCCTCGATGTCGTCCTCGTCTTTCTCGCTCTTCGGAGGGACCTTGACGGTGTCGCCTTTCCCGATCACGCTCACATCGCACTTCAGGTAACCCTTCGGCCCTCCGGCCACGTCGTCCGGATCCGTGAGCAGCGCCCATTTGTGATAAAATTGATGATCTATCGGGGTACGTATCTCGTTAGACACGTCAGATTCGGGCTACGCGCGATCGACGATCAATAAACAACGAAGAGAAAGAGCCAGAAAAATCGAAGCGGAGTAAGATTTTGGAAACGTTCGGAAACACCGTAGAATGCAGCATGATGTGCGAGCGTGCGAGGACAGTGATCCACTCTATCCGAGCATCCGATGCAATAAGGGCTATTCCATTCCACTCGTTACGATCTGCATTGGCGACCGGTGCCAAGTAAATTCGGTAACCGTGAGTCGAAAGTTTCACGATTTTCAACCCTTAGCGGACGAGAGGCGAATTTCTATCGAATTTCGTGAACTACTGGAACGAAACGCTTGTGAAACTGCGCTCGTTTATATGAAGCGAAACACGGGTACAACGATTTACTGGCGTGGTATGTAACTTATACGTATACGTGTTGAAAGCTTGATCGAAATCTGTTAACCCAGAGTCGAGCTATAAACATTGAAAGATTTAAAAAACTGTAAAACTCCAAACTTTTTCTCCAGTTTTTGAGCAAAATCGTGAGAGAACTGTGATTTTTGCCATCTTTAATTTGTTGTAACCCGCAACGTCAATCGATTTCGATACAATTTTTAGCATGCATATAAGTTAGGCATTTTTTAAATTTCCGTTATAGGCGCGAATAAAAAAGTTAAGAAGTCTTTTATCTTGTCTGGCATTCCAAGTAATAGCAAAATTGTAATTAATAGTCCAGTTTTAAAAATGTTATTGCATTTTAAACGGTGTACGCTCAACGGAGATCTACCAGAGGCATTTTCTAAATTTTCATTACAGCCTCAAATTAAAAAGGTACAAAAACGAGAATTTTTTATCTTTTTTTGTCATTCCAAGCAGTATCAAAATGTGAAAAAAATCATTTTGGTCATCGTCTAGTTGACTAGACCCGCTATCACCTAAAAAGAATTCAAGTCACTTAGTTTAGTTTCGAAAAAATAATTGCGTTTTAAAAGGTATACGCTTTTGCGGGCCACTGTATCTACTACAGTTATTACTACTACTACAGTTAAATAAGAAAGTACGTTCGTGTCGTGTTGCAATCGCGTTATTGGAGAAAACTGAAATCCATCCTGATATTTTGCGAATAAATTCGTTAATCTGCCCTGACCTCGTACATTTGATCATATAATCTAACCTTGCACACATATTTTATGTACTAATGCGTTCCCCCCCACCCCCCCCCCCACGTATAAATAGAATAACTAGAATAAATTACGATAAGGAATTTTCATTTGCACATTGCGTTCTTCCAGCAACGAGTGATCGCTTGGCGCGGAATAGCCCATATACGCTACCGTATGTAATGCATTTTTGTTATTTTCAGTACACGTATGCGTACTCGTCTTATCGCGTTGGTCGATCTTCAATGGGGCCGCGTATGCACGTACGCAACAGTTGAATGCGCCTATACTCTGAAAGCGGTGGTAAAAGCCTCTTATGTACATTCGATACGAGTAATGCATGAATTCCATTTTGACGGCGCAACGCAAGTTGTTTGCGGAGCGACGCGCGCGATGCGTCGCCGCGACGCGGCCGACGGGATGCTCCAAAGTACGATAACTCCTCTCGTTACGTGTACGTTTCGTGAATGTCATGATTCTACTGCGAGAACAACAGCTGCTGTATGGAGGAAGGTAAAATTCTTCTTCTCGGAAGACGACGGTAGGTAAAATCGTCTTCCGTTTGCGTGCAACAGAAGCGGCATGACTCGAGAACGACAAGCGGTGTGCGCACAAAAAGATCGTAGACGACATGCTCTTGCTGTGGGATGGTACGTATTGTAGGTGTTAGGTTGTAGATTATAGGTCGTGGTCTGCTGGTACACGCGGACGATATAATAATGAAAAGCGTAACGCGGAAACAGCGAACGATTATTCGGCGCGGGTCCCAACGTGATCGATTGCTTCGTCGTCATTTCTTGCCACGAACATATGTACCTCTCGACGTCGTAGATCGTAAATCGTAAATGATAGATGATAAAACGTAAATCGTATTCCAGGCGACACGGTATTCCGAACGAGATGAGAACGTTCGCGGGTACGTTTGTCGACGATAATTTTACGATCATAATTACGGAACGACTTTTATCGAGTTAGAAAAACGCAGGCTAAAATGAAAACAGGCTTTAAGAAATGCAAGGCATATATCTCGCTGTAATTTCGTCGCGACATGTAAACAAATTAATCATCGTCTTCGGATTGACGATTTTGTTGCACGATTAAATGATAAAGTAAATAATACGTAGAAACGTGTGTGTGTGAAATGTGACACGCATATAGATACATAATACTAGATATGGGATATACAGTTACGAAATTGAGCGTACCTTTTTTAATAGCCTTTTTAATAACTTTTTCAAAACTGAATTAAGTGACTGGAACTTTTCTTTTAGTTGATAGAGAGACCAGCGACGATGACTAAAATGTCTTTTTTTAATTTTGCTATTACTTGAAATGACAAAGGAAAAATAAATTTCTTTATCTGAATCTGTAAAAAAAAATTTTTAAAAATGTCTTTCGTAGATCTCGATAACTTAAATGCGTGCTGAAAATTTGATCGAAATCGATTAATCCTGAGTGGAGCTACAGACATTGAAAGGTTTAAAAAACTGCAGATTTTTTCCAGTGTTTGGTGAAAATCGTGATAAAACTGCGATTTTTGCCATCTTTAATTTGTTGTAATTCACAACAACGTTAACTGATATCGATAAAATTTTTAGCACGCATATAATTTATCGAGATCTGTGGGAGGCATTTTTTAGATTTAAATAAAAAAGTTGAAAAGTCTTTTATCTTTTTTGTCATTCCAAGTAATAGCAAAATTTGAAAAATCCATTGTGGTCATCGTCTAGTAAACTAATCCCGCTATCATCTAAAAAGAATTCAAGTCACTTAGTTCAGTTTTAAAAATGTTATTGCGTAATAAACGGTGTACGCTCAATTTTGGGGGTAACTGTACACGTTTACGCGTTCGCGTACATATTCTTGTTATCGATTAAAATGTAACAAGTACCATTCCTGATAAAAACTTGAACCGGTTTCAAATTTATGGAACATTTTAAGAACATAATCATTTACATTGGAATGCAATGTTTGCATTCGTTGCAATTAAACAATTAAAAAACCACTTAATATCGCTTTTAACCCTCGCCGCGCCTTTCGGATCCAGAGCTCGAGATCTGCATTGATCTTTGACACTTGATGGTGTCTGCCATTTGTTTATATTAGAGCAACGACAACAAGTACAAAAACAAATGTAAGAAATATAATTACCATGTAAAAAACAAGTACGGTAAGATAATAGTAATAATAATAATATTAATGATGATATGATAACAACAAAATTTTAGTTCAAAATGTTTGTGCACATAAGGTCATGGGTCCGCCTGGACCCGAACAGAGACTGCGCGTGAACGCCCGACGGTACTGCGAGGATTAAGACAAGTTTCAACAAGCTTTCCTTCAGCTTGTAAACAAAAAAGGACGATTATGGGAAGTGGTGATGCGATTATTCGAGTCTCGCGGCTCATTTTTATAGTTACCAATTGTCAACAATTAAAACAACGAGGTGCAAGGCTCGAATAATTGTAACTCCTCTTCCCAAAATGTCCAGCTTTGTTTAGAAACTGTAGAAAAATTAGGCAGAATTTATTGGACATGTATGTACAGTGTACATAAATTCTCCCCAATTGTCCCTCAGCTTGTAAAAAGAAATGGACAATTTGGAAAAAGGAGATACGATTATTCGAGTCTCGCGGCTCATTTTTATAGTTGCCGATTGTCAATTATAACAACGAGGTGCAAGGCTCGAATAATTGTAACTCCTCTTCCCAAATCGTCCAGCTTTGTTTAGAAACTGTAGAAAAATTAGGCAGAATTTATTGGACATGTATGTACAGTGTACATAAATTCTCTCCAATTGTCCCTCGGCTTGTAAAAAGAAATGGACAATTTGGAAAAAGGAGACACGATTATTCGAGTCTCGCGGCTCGTTATTATAGTCGCCGTTTGTCAAGAACTATAAAAACGAGCCGCGGGGTTCGAATAATCGTATCACCTCTTCCCAAATTGTCCAGTTTTATTTACAAGCTGAGGGAAAATTGGAGAAAATTTACTGTGTTTTGCTCATCCCTCGCAATCGATCTGTTAGCCAGCCTCAATCACAGTTTTTGTCTCGGTCTCGTTTTCAGTCTCGGTCTCGGTCTCGACGAGAGATGAGAGTTCGAATGTGTCGATCGAGGGGATCGGTTACATGTGATCGAAAATAGTCTTTAGCGTCGTTTTCGGACGATTGATAATACCTGGTTGTGCCCATACGGTCGCGATGTCTAATTTAAAGCTGCCCAGCGTTAGATTAGCGCGTAAGAGATTCCGCGATTGCTGCACCTGCGTACCAGTAGAACGTTAACGCTATTGTTCGCTTCGTTATCCCTTCTGACGTCGAACGCGTAAATGTAATTTCCTTTGCTTTTTGCGTGCTACGCTATAATTACAACGATCCCGGGTACATTCTAATTAGCCTATTCGATCTTTCTTTAATGTTTAACGCGTTCGCGATCACCGGATTCCGCTGCTTGTCCAAGTTAAACCGATGAGAGCTTTTCATTCTAATTTTCATTTGTCATTCAAGCGACAGCAAAATTTGAGGGAAAAAAGAGAACATTCTAGTTACGTTCCTGTAGACTGGTCCCTCTATCGTCTAAAAGCAATTCAAATCGTTTAGTCCAGTTTTAAAAATGTTCGCCTTTCGAAAGGTGTACGAATGTTAACCCTTTGCACTCGATTGGTGACCCCGAGGCACCGCTAAAAATCTTGTATCACGTTCCGAAATAATTTTAATATCATCAAAGTTTAAATTAAAATAATTGTTAACAGTGTAATTGTTGTATGTGCCACAGGACTCAATTTCATACGCACAAAATGCACTTTGTGCACTCGATTGGTGACACCGAGGCACCGCTAAAAATCTTGTATCACGTTCCGAAATCATTTTAATATCATCAAAGTTTAAATGAAAAAAATTGTTAACAGTGTAACTGTTGTATGAGCCACAGGACTCAATTTCATACGCACAAAATGCACTTTGTGCATTTGCACTCGATTGACGACCCCAGGGCATAGCTAAAAATCTTGTATCACGTTCCGAAATAATTTTGATATCATCAAAGTTTAAATGAAAAAAATTGTTAACAGTGTAACTGTTGTACGAGCCACAGGTCTCAATTTCATACGCACAAAATGCACTTTGTCATATAAAATGGAAATACTACGAGCCAGAAAAATTATTTTAATTTTTCGGTTAAAACGGCTTCGAGTGCAAAAAGTTGATGGGAGTAACTGTAAGTAGGTAGGCAGGTACTTAGGCAGGTACGATCGTCGTTCGTGCGTCGTATGCACGAACTTTATAGGTGTACTTTGCGTCGTTACGCGATCCTCGTATCTCCTAATCTGACAAGAGTAAGGCGAGCGGAATTACTTGTTCAACCGATACGCGACGTTATCGATGATATTGTACCGTCCCGTAAGGATTCTTCGTTCATCGATCTCACCGTGCTTATGTACCATTTGCATACGTATTATACGTAGGCACATACATATTCGTACGCGAAGATCGTGCGAAGATTGCGCGAGGAACTATCGAGGAATTTCTACGAATTTCTATTGAATTTCGTGAACTACTGGAACGAAACTCTTGTGAAACTGCGCTCGTTGTATGAAGCGAAGCACGGGTACAATGATTTACTGGCGTGGTCACTATCGTCGCGATCTTTCTCAGAACATCGGCCAAAAATTCCCTGCGCTATGTTGTATCTATCACGTGCGTAACGAAGCGATTGTTCTCCTGTCACCGTTTAAGACCTTCAAACGGATGCTAAAGCGCTCGATCGAGTAATAAAGCGTCGAGTAATGGCAAAAGAACGTACCGAGAGCGTGATGATTTTGTCGAACAGCATCACGGGCGGCATATGAAAATCGAACACGAAGTACTGAAAAATCAAAGTGGAAACGTGAAGCGTGCGAGACATCGCTTTGGAACGGCGCACAGTGGGTCGGATCGAAGATTTTAGCGACTCTTTGACGGAAACCTAATTTTCTCATATCGATGCCCAGTCGATGTTTATTGCTTGTTAAATGTCCATTACCCTCGAAAGTGGAAACATCGATAAAAATGATCGTAAATTGCAATAGATACGACAATTTAAAGTTGAACATTTTGAACGCTACATTTGACGCCAAAAAATATGCTTCTTTCCCTCGCAATGTCCTGACGAACCTAATTAATTTTTTCCCTTGCTTTCTTTTTTTAACATTAGGTGGCAATATTTCTCGTTAGGAAGCAGTAGCTTAAATTGAGATTATTGTATCGTATATATGAAAAATATAATGTTTAATAAAATACAAAAAGTGTAAAAATTCTTTACATTTGACGAGAAATATCTTTTCACACCCAAGGACTCACAGTTTCGGACAAACGGTATATTTTCAGGATACTTTCCTCTATATAATTCTGTAAAAGTTACATACCAAGTCGAACCAGATTGTAAATTATTACGTTTCAAAGATATCAACGTTACGTTACGTTGAGGTTGAAGGTATCGAAGATAATCTCTCTGTGTTCCAGTCGGTATTACACCCACACTGGTTACGAGGACCCACCCAGTAATTCCAGGTACGTTAGTATTGTAATGTTACAAATACTTCGTAACGTTATATTTAAACTATTTTTTTCACAAGAAATGTCAATGAAAATTAATTAAAAATTATTGTTTAACAAATGCAAAAAAATTTGATTATCTATAGTTGAAGATACCCATTTTCTAAATATTTTTGGTGAAAATTTCATTGCAATATCTTTGATGGTTCAAAAGTTATAACCGAATGTCACTGGATTTCTCGATTAAGCCCACTGTGCGGCGTTTCGGCAGAAGAGCATTTTACAGCGCGCTTACTTCGTTGTAGTACGGACAATTCGTCGATTCCTTGACGCTGGTGTATTTTCGTTGGTCTCCGATCTGCACGCAAACGACGGGGTCCATGTTCAAGCCGGCGAGTTGCCTCGCCTCTATGATGGTCACACAAACTTGATAATCCTGCGCTTTTAGCGCCGACTGCCCGGTATCGGTGGTCTGCAAAAGATCAATACGGACGAATTCGGCTCGATCGCGGTTTATATACCTATCGATACCAGTTAGGAAGTTTCGATCGTATACCGAAAGGAAAAATATATATTAATTTCATTTCCGTTTCTCACAACCGAGAGCACGAAAACTTCGATCTCGCACAAAGATCCGCGCTCTAATCGTCGATAATATCAGCGCCGATTCCATCGGGAATCGCAGGGTTCGTTGACGCGGAAAAATCCAACGCACCTTCGGCTTCGATCTTTTGGTCGTTTTAACGATCGCGTCTTGCGACTCGGTCGAGGCCGCGTTCGCGTTGACGGTCGCGCTGATTATCGTCGCCGGACCCGAGTCCCCGTCTTCGTTTCCGTTGATCCGGCTCTCGTAATCGGATGTGTTCGATTCCAGCGACGTCATCGAGTTGGTCCGCGAGGGTTCGTTCGACGTTGCGCAGCTCGAATCCCCTTTATCGATCAATTCGCGAGTATCGGAACCGCTGTCGCAAGATCGCGATCCCGCAGCCGCCGGCCTTTGTTTGCCGAGCTTCATAAACGATCTCATGCTTCTCAGCGTCGAATGCCTGTCGCACACGGAACCAGAGTTTTTCGTAAAAAAGAACCTTATCCACCGAATTATCGACGGGAGGGGGGAGGGGCGGGGTGGAGACGCGGCGGGTACACACCTCTTACGGTCGGATGACTTTTCGGCCGTCGAAGTTGAGTTGCCTTTCTGTAAGAAACCCCTCTTGAAGATCTTCTCCGGGGTTTGCCAGGAGCTCCTACGTTTGCCGTTCGAGGAACTGGTGTTTGCTTGCTCGAAGCTCCTCTCGAGGTTCGCGATGTTCTGCTCGATGTCGATCAGCATCTGTTGCTCGTCCTCCATTGCTTCGGACACCGCGTACGAGCTGCAGCTCCCGTCCGGTGGATTGTATCGGATTTCGAAGCAAATTACAGCCTGGAACGCATACCGGACAGATTTGCCAGATTTCCCTGGAATCGCGAGCGTAACTACGACTAAATATGTTGGGATTATCACGGATATAAATCTGGAACAGACCTCGTCGTTCTACGAACGGCGATCAAACGAAAAACTCCTCTGGAGCGGAGCAACGTCGATTACAAACTGTGTCGTAATTAATAAAGTTATTATAATTTGTTCTTTCAATTACGATAGATATGACCTAAATTTGTTTGGTTCATCGTAGATATAAATCTAAAAAAGCCCTCGTCGTTCTACGAACGGCGATCAAACGAAAAATTCCTCTGGAGTGGAGCAACGTCGATTACAAACTGTGTCGTAATTAATAAAGTTATTATAACGTGTGCTTTCAATTACGATAGGTATAATCTATATATGTTTGGCTCATCGCAAATATAAATCTGGGAAATCCCTCGTCGTTCTACGATCGACGATCAAACGAAAAACTCCTCTGAAGCGGAGCAGCATCGATTACAAACTGTGTCGTAATTAATAAAGTTATTATAATGTATGCTTTCAATTACGATAGGTATAACCTATATATGTTTGGCTCACCACAGATATAAATCTGAAAAAGCCCTCGTCGTTCTACGATCGACGACCAAACGAAAAACTCCTCTGAAATGGAGCAACGTCGATTACAAAACGGTGTCATAATTGATAAAGTTATTATAATTGATAAAATTATTATATTATACCAATTATTTTGTATAAATAATATACCAATTATTTCAGAGGATTCTCAAGGTCATAGCTAACGTAAATCAAAGAACAAATTATAGTAACTTTATTAATTACGACACAGTTTGCAATCGACGTTGCTCAATTTCGGAGGAGTTTTTCGTTTGGTCGCCGATCGTAGAACGACGAGGGCTTTTCCATCAATTTCTCTGCGAGTATAGCAATTTCGTTCCTGGATCTAACCCAGACACCGACCAACAATATATCTCGAGACCGCAATCCAACGATCGTTCTTTCAGAGGATTCTCAAATTCATTTGAAAGGAAATCGTTGAGTTCTCTTTCCCTTTCGGTATACCGTTGACCTTGAAAGACCTCGGAGATGATGAGAACGTACCGGAAGCGGTTTGTTGTTCAGATCTACCAAAGAATCGGTGACCACGATTCGGCCTTCTCGCACCACCGTTTGAAGGACCAGGCCATACTTTGCAATCGCTTTCTCGTTCCTGAGAACACCCCGCGATATCACCGTCAGCTGCAATACTTCCGACTCGTCGACTGGCCTGCCCAAATTCCAAGTGAACGCCTGAAATCAGATTGTCGATAGCAGCCGGCTGGCCGAAGAAAAATTACCGACCGTTTCGGTTCTAACTTCGATGGATATCTATGGAAAGAGAGAGCAAAAATAGGGGCGGAACTGTGAGAATGGCTCTATCCTGTATCCTGCATCTTATCGATTATTGCTAACCGGAAGAGAACGCTCGCGTCCATCTGGGCCTTATACAGTAAATTCTCCACAATTGTCCTTCAGCTTGTAAACAAGAATCAGGGAAAGGAGATACAGTAATGTCTCCCTAATTGACGCTCAGATTGTCCCCAATAATGGACAATTTGGGAAGAGTAGATTATATTATATATATATTGTTATAAATTATTATTATTATTATATTATTATATTATCATATATATTATTATAAATTATTATTATTATTATATTATTATATTATCATATATATTATTATAAATTATTATTATTATTATATTATTATATATATTATTATAAATTATTATTATTATATTATTATACATATTATTATAAATTATTATTATTATATATTATATATCATATTATTATTATTATATATATATTCGAATCTTGCAGCTCGTTCTTATAATTATTAACAAAATGGGTAACTATAAAAACGAGTTGCAAGGCTCGAATAATGGTATCTCCTCTTCCCAAATTGTCCATTTTTGTGCAGAATCTGAGCGTCAATTAGGGAGACATTACTAAACAATTATTCGAGCCTCGTGGCTCGTTTTAATAGTTGCCGATTATCAACAACCATAAAAATGAGTCTCGAGACTCGAAGAATCGTATCTCCTCTTCCCCAAATTGTCCATTTTCGTTTAAAAGCTGAAGGACAATTGGGGAGAATTTACTGTACTCGGATAGCACAATCAGCATACGGTATTATACGAAGTGTACGAAGATAAATGCGAAAATATACAAAAAAATACAAATTACGAAAGAACTAACAATCCTTTTAAAACACTCTGCGGGTCACAGATCGAGCCTAGATCACGCCTAACAGAAGAAACCCAGCGAAGTTCGCGAAAAATTCACTTTTTAGGAAATATTTAATATTTTCAAAGCTAACAATAAGATTTCGATAACAACTAATGGAAGTTTAGGATTTGAACACTAAACCTTCCAAGCAGTAATACTAACTGGCGCGCGCTGCTTCACAAAAGTGGGAAGACCGAATTTATTTGGATTTTGTAAAGTTTTCACTATAAAACTTGCTCCAATAATGTAACTTATTCAAGGATTTTCCACGAAAGAGTTTCGAAACTTTGCAGAACTGCGAAATAAGAAAGCGGTCGCTTTGACCGCGGTGGGTTTAGTGTTAAAGGGATTTCTGCCAAATATATAACAAAAATTTATAAAAGTACATTTTCAGAAAGGTATTAATACCCTTTCCGTGTGTCATAAGATCGGGAATCCAAACGAGAGAGTTTCTTAAAGATCGCCTCGAAAGCAGCAGAAATTCCATTCGTAAATCGACGAATGATTTAGATCAATATCGCGTAACAATTTCTCCCGACATCGTTATTTAGGAGAAAATAATCGAGCTCTCATTTGCCGTACAACAATTTTCCTCGAAAATCCAAACAATAGCCAGCCAGCAAGTCGAGCGTTAACGCGTACGATTTAATACATGTGAACCGGTTAATCGAGATATAATGTCAAACGCTCGTTGTTCGTTGTTCATTGTTCGTCGTTCGTCGCGTCGTTCGTCGTTCGTCCATCGATCCTATCCGTGCACGCACACTTTCGTTGGCCGTGGCATACAATCATAACAAAACGCGCTGCTCGACGATCTAATTTTCTCGTTGACATCTAAAAGCAGTTAAACGATATTTGATTGCCCCGTATTAACATAAGCGCCTCGGGCACATCGTTATTTATTTCCGTATTCGTTCGAGAATGAAACTTTCCGCGTGCACGGCATATAATAGAGAATGATCGATCAGTTAACAATAGCTAGAAACATCGCGAAACTGGAGGAACGTGTATGGTTTTTTTGTGTCAGCAGACTGAAACGTTGTTCGACCTTTTTGCGCTCTTTACCCGTTGCGCATACTTATCGTTCGCGAAAATACCTGCGTGGATACTCTGCTGTATGCGCATTATCGATGTCGATATTGTTATATCGGTATCGATGGGTCATGTCATACGACGCAAAGTGCTTTAAATCGTGAAATTATTTTCGTTGGATTCACCTGAATCGGGGAGAGAACTGGGTCACGGCGAGAGCTTGTTGCACGAAATTATATATATATTATATACATATATGTATCGAGTGCGTATACACGCTGTACGTATGTAGATACACTGTACATATATATGGTAATATACCACAT